CTGACTCTCCCTGCAGTTCTGAAAGGATAAAGCAAAGATTCAAATCACATTTTAGTCTGTATCAGTGTGTATCAGTCTTCAACTTATACATTCTAGAGAACAGCCTCTTTAACCTCTTAGAACTCGTTCTCCCCATGCTCATTATCTTTGAAAAAAAAAATAAATCACTTTTGACTAGCATACTTAATCTAAATGTGAGTTCACCTTAAATATTTAAACCAAGTTTCTAGCACCCAAGATTCAGTTTAAGAAAGGGTTTCTAGTATGATCAGAAGCAGTAGGAAAATAAGGGGATTTTTTGGTGGTGCTACACAAAAATCAAAGTTATTTATGACACAGGTATTACTTACCTTCTCAGAGTGAATCTCATTTTTATATGAGTTTAACAGTACTGAAAATCATAAATATCTGTAATAAAGGTATGAGTTTCAAGACTCTTTACAACTTTCTTCCCTTCCCTTTCTTCCCTTCCCTTAGGCAACATTTATCAACATACCTATATTACATATCCACTGAAGCCAAAGCCAAAACAAAAACCAAAAACCTTTGACTCCAGTTAAACCATTGGTTACACATTCCTAGAATCAGTGTTAAAACTGTCCTAATATTTCAGCATTAAACAATTTTTTTTTTTTTTTTATTTTTTTGGTAAGAAGGAGTGGTGGTAGTCAGTCAGAAAATGCTAATTTATCTAATGTAAACTTCATTGTAAGAAATATCAGATATGATAGCTGACTTACTGAAAAAGAATCTCTGGATCCAAGCCTAAATTTCTAGTAAAAACAGAAGGAAAGACAGTGAGATAAGATGCATGATTGCTCTTCTGATATAAATATCAAGGCCCTTAGTTAACAATTAACCCGCAACGCAAGTTAACTAACTGCCCACAAGGATCATTAAGTCCAACTACTGGCTCCACACAGATCTACCCCAAAATTCAGACCATATGACTGAGAGCACAGCCCAAATGCTTCTTAAACTCTGACAGGCTTGGTGCCATGACTACATTCCCCACTGGGGAGCCTGTTCCAGTGAAGAAACTTTTCCTGATATCCAACCTGAACTTCCCCTGTCACAACTTCATGATGTTCCCTTGGGTCTTGTTGCTGTCACCTGAGGCGAGATTGACATCTGCCGCTCCGCTTCCCTCTTGTGAGGAAGCTATAGACCGCCATGAGGTCTCCCCTGAGCTTCCTCTTTTCCAAGCTGGATAAACCAAGTGGCCTCAGCTGCTCCTCATATGTCTTTCCTCTAGGCACTTCATCATCTCTGTAGCCCTTTTCTGGACACTCTCCAATACTTTCACAACCTTTTTGTACTGTGCTGCCCAGAACTACACACAGTACTCAAGGTGAGGCTACACCAGCACATAGTAGAGTAGGACAATCACTTCCCTCAACTGACTAGCAATGCCGTGCTTGATACATCACAGGATAGTTTGCCCTCCTGGCTGCCACAGCACACTGCTGGCTCATATCCAACTTGCTATCAACCACAACCCCTGGATCCCTCTCTGTGGGGCTGTTCTCCATCATCTCATCATCATAGTCTGTACATATAGCCAGGGTTTCCCCTTCCCAGAACTTGCTTTTGTTGAACTTCATTCTGTTGGTGATTGCCCAGTTCTCCAATTTGTCCAAATCTCTCTGCAAGGCCTTTCCACCCTCAACAGAGTCAACAACTCCTCCCAGTTTAGTATCATCAGCAAACTTACTCAAAACTCCTTCTAGTGCTACATCCAAGTTATTTATGAAACCATTGTAAAGAACTGTCCCTAAAATGGAGCCCTGGGGGACCCCACTGGTGACTGGCCACCAGCCTGTTGTAACCCCATTCACCATAACCCTTTGAGCCTTACCAGTCAGCCAATTATCCACCCATCATATGATGTTTTTATCTAGCTGTATGCTGGATATTTTGTCCAGTAGGATCCTATGAGAAATTGTATCAAAAGCTTTTTCTGAAATACAAAAAGATTACATCCAATGGCTTCCCTTGATCACCTAGATAGATGATCACATCATAAAAGGAAATCAATTTTTTTTAAGTAGGTCCTACCCCTTGTGAACCCATGTTGGCTGTGACCTATGACTGCATTTTCCCCCAAGCGTGTTCCAATAATTCCTAGGACAATCTTCTCCATAATTTTACCAGGCACTGACATGATACTTACAGGCCTGTAGTTACCAGGGTCTTCTTTCTTCCCCTTCTTGAAAATTCGTACAACATTTTCCAGCTTCCAGTCAATTGGGACCTTTCTAGATTCCCAATACCACTGAAAAGTAATTGAGAGATGATGTCAGCCAGCTCTCCAAGCACCCTGGGATGAATCCTGTGTGGACCCATGGACTTGTATGGTTTCAGGTGGAGCAGCAAATCCCACACACATTCAAGGTCGGTTGGGATTTTTCATTCCCACTGTCACAGTCCTTCAGCTCAGTGCACCCGAGGTCACAAAGTCCATCATCAGTGTTGAAGACAGAGGCAAAGAAGGCATTAAACATTTCTGCTTTGTCTATATCCTTGTCTGAGAGGTGACCGTCCCCATTCAAGCAGTGGACCTATGTTTTCTCTGGTCCTGCTTTTTCTGTTCACATATTTGAAAAAGACCTTTTTGTTGTCTCCCACAGTCCTGCCCAGCTTCAACTCTAATTGGGCTTTGGCTGCACAAATTTTCTCTCTACAAAGGGGAATAGCATCCGTGTAGTCCTTCCACGTTGCCTGACCCTGTTTCCAGCAGCCATACGCTTTCTTTTTCTGCCTAAGCTCCAGAAGATCTCTGGTTAGCCAAGCTGGCCTTCTGCCCCACCTTGACTTCCGATATTTTGGAATTGCCCAATCTTATGCCTTTAGGAAGTAGTGCTTAAAGACTGGCCAGCACTTATGGATGCCAATGCCTTCAAAAGCAGTTCCCTGAGCATCCTGAAGTCTGCTTTCCCCATATCCAGGGCTAATGTTTTGGTAGCAGTTTTCCTCCTGTCATGAAAAACTTTAAACTCAACCTTTTCATGTCACTATGACCAAGACAGCCGCCAATTGCCACATCTCCCGCAAGACTCTCTCTGTTCTCCTGCAGCAGATCTAGAAGGGCACCTTTCCTAGTTGGCTCCCTTAGCACCTGCACCAAGAAATTACCATCAAGGTGCTTTAAAAACCTCCTGGCCCTGCTTGTGTCAGCTGTGTGATATTCCCAGTTAACATCTGGCAAGTTGAAGTTTGTCCCATTAGGACAAGGGCAGTTGATTTTGAGGTAACTCAGTTCCTCAAATAATAATTCATCAGTGTTGTCATCCTGGCTGGGTGGTCTGTAACAGACTCCCAGAACAACATCCCCTGTATTTGTTTGTCCCTTAATCCTTACCCAGAGGCTTTCAACTTTGTCATCACTACCTGCTAGGTCCACACAGTCCAGCCCCTCCTTTACATACAGCACCACCACTCCACCTTGCCTGCCCTGCCTGACCCTCCTGAAGAGTCTGTAACCATCTACTGTAATTACAGAACCATCCTTTTTTGTAGTTTAATGAATGACCATCACCAACAGGAAATGAAAGTAGAGACACCCAGTTTTGTGTTATCTGCCTGATTTTTTTCTTATTAAATTTTCATTTTTCCCCTGAAAAGTTTTAGTTTCACACTTCCAAGAGAAGGAGCACTTCCTAAATTTCAGAGTTTAGTAGATTGAAAATATACTGCATGCCCAGAATTAATAATAATTATTAATTATTTTGAAAAACCACCCACATTTCAAATGCAGGGCAGTTTAAGATATAAGAATTTTGACATTTGAAACTACCTTATCAATTCTGCATTCAGTTTTCAAAAGCAGCTTCAGTTTCTTTTCCATTATTTCATTTGACTAAATGATATTTTACTTAACTCATTTGCTTAAATGCAGTATAATCTTTTTGTTTCTTCTACCAGGTAGAACAGGATGAAATAAGTGCAAACAGTGGAAGCTCTAATGTTTTATAGTTCATTGGGAGCACAGGAAAATCTATTCCGATAGACGTGTGTGCACATTTGTCACAACACAAGAAAAATATCCCACAAATCAATAACAGAAGGTATTCATTTTCAAGATATTACTAACAAGATGAAAATGTTTAGCTGGTATGCATTAGAAAAGAGTAAAAACGCATCATTACTTTGTGAAGGACCTTAAAACTTTCTCTTATGTCTTGTTTTTCATGCTCAGCCCATAGATTTGTCTCTGGAAGTTTGGGGATAAAGAGGGAAATCCTCACTGAGGGCATCCCCACTATACAAACATATCCTTCCACTTCCACTGTGTGCTCCTGATATATGTTTTGTTCTGCTATATTAGTGTGCTGGGCTTCATTCTAGTATGTGCATCATCTGCAATAAGAAAGAAAATAAAGAGAAGAAGAAAGAGGAGAGATAAAGAGAAACAAAGAAAGAAAGATGTAAGACTCAAGAAGATTTTACTGAGGACTACAAAGCTCTTCTGGGGATGGACCCCACAGTCACCAAGGAAAGAGCCAGCACTGACTACAAATAAATGTGCGAATAAGAAGGTATCATTTTTTTTTTTTTTCTCTACAGAATTTCATAGAAAAGTGGATTGTATAGAATATAATGAACCACTTGCAGAAAACAGGTATTCATTTGGTTTTGATAATGTGAAGTTAATGCATAGTGTGGTACTTATTCTGTCACTTTCCCATCATACAGAAGTAACAGGTATATAGAGATTATATCAATGCCATTATTTGATATAGCTAAGTTAATACTAAACAACAAAGGAATTCCAGCAGTAGAATGCTTTTATTTTCCCCTTCTCATTTTTTTTTTTTTTTAAACTTTTTTCCAACCTTACTTCCATGTGAATAGGAATATGCATTTCCAAACAAAATAAGGTGTGTTGTCAGGTTATTTTGATGCTTCACTGTGCTTAGACATTTAATTATTTCTGACATGATCCTAGGATATGTTTATTTAATGAGATATGGATACAAATAAGATGAGATGGACTAATGTCTCCTTTAAAGAGAAATATTTTATTTTATTTTTTGTACGAAGAAAAACTTGTATTTGTAGACAGATTTCATCCTGACTCTTATCTAACATATATCTCTGAGACTTTGCTTCCTGTTTCTCTCTTTGCATATTTTATTTACAATGACCAGCTTTTTTACCACATTTTCTCCCTTTTACTACACCTATTGATGAATAATAGGCTCCAGATAGAAAATTGACAGATCTCTCATTTTAGCAGCTTTCCCTGAATTTCTACAATCATTTCTTAGTTCCACCTGAAGAACCCCCACAATAAGAGAATGTTAAAATATGTAAATCAGTCCTTTAAAATGCCACAATGCTGTTAATTACAGTCTTGCTGGTATCATGTGTTTACTATACTATAGTTAATGACTGTTTTATTGTTTAAAAATGCTCATTACAAAAATCTTCTAGCAAATGTCTGCTAGTGTTTAACACCACATACTGTAATCATCTCTCAGAGGAATGTGTCTACCTAAGGTTAGCTGGAAAATGCAAAAGACTAATTAGCATCTTGAATCACCATTCAGCCATCTGCTATGAGAAGGCAATGCCTGAATCTGAATCACCCGAAGAAACTAAGAGCGTTGTTAGAAAAGTACAAGTATGTTTTGCTACAGTACTTGTAGACATGATAGCAGTAATATTGCAAACAAATGTCAATTTCAAATAATGAAAATATTGTTTCTTTAATCATTTGTATATTATTAAGAAAGTATGGATAGAGACTGCTATATATCAGATTCATTAGATGATGACATCAACATTCCACATCTAGTTTCCCCTTGCACATGATGTCTGGTGGAAATTAAAACCTACGTTAAACACAAATGGTTTTGAAACAATTTTTATGACTTTGATACAAATGATTTTGTAGTTTATGAGTTGTGCATTACATTGAAAGCATATATATACATTATGTGTGATTTCAATTTTTTATATATATAAAATTTGAATTTTACATATATTTTATACAAACATACATAATGTACACAAGCATACCAGCTGTTGACCATTGGCTCAAAATATCCAGCTCATCCAACCCCATTAAGTCAGGTTAAGACTTTTAAGTCACTTTCAATAACAATTAAAATTACACAATCAGGCAAATCATAAAACTCATGCTTTGAATTCCAACAAATATTTCACTTGTGACAGAGTCTCTTTGTTTGTTAATTATTTATTGAACTATGATATGCTTTTCACCAAAAAGCTGCGGTTAGGTAAGTTGACTCCTGTTGATTTCTGACTGTACAGTTGGTGTGGAGGAGATGACCTGTTTCCTGACAGTAATTAGACATTATCAGCTGGGGTAAGCTCCTGGATTGAAAACTGAGTGAGGAGCACCAGTAAGTAAGAAGCCTGAAGTGCAATAGAATCAGAGATGCTCAGGACAAACACCTTGGGCTCCATAATTAGCTATCATGGCCCAATGGTAATATACCTGCAGTACAAGCTGGTGCTAAGGTCCTGCTGTCTGCAGTATGTATAGATCAGCTGTATTTACTTAGCATAAATTTAATAAAAATAAATAAGCATAAATTTATCATGTACCACAGACTGAAAGTTTATTAGCAGTTGAAGTATGTGCTTCTGGAATGTATCTTTCACAAGAATGTATCTTTCAAGAATGTATCCTTCATCAGTTAATGCCATCTGAGAAAAGCTAGTTTGTTTACTTTCTGAGAACACTGTGAATAAAACAGAAGAGATTAAATAGTGATGATGGGAGTAAACAGTTACTTCAAAATAAAAGTACAGGACAATATAGTGGCTGCAAGGCAGTAAGCTTGAATCACAGATGGTCCTTTACTGGTCATTAAAAGAATGTAGGTTTTTGAGCTGGATCAAACTGATTTGGGGGATAACAATGAGAGCTAAGAGCACAAGGAAAATACCACTCGTATAGTAAAACTTGAATGAAACATGAGAAAAGGAATCAATGAAGAAAGACCAAGAATGTGAACTGTGTTATATAAAGTTGTAAAAAGGAACAGAACTACTCTTAGTGGGACCATGAAGAGGAAACCCCCTTTCATAAGTATCATAGTCCTCCGGACTGTGTCTTTAGATTTTAATGAATAAATATTTGAAATAGTGATAGCCTTCATTGGACTTTTGGTCCAGTTTTTGTTCAAGTTCACCTGCAGCTGAAGACATCTAGTTCAAGTTACACTAAACTTGAAAAAATAATGTCTTATACTTGACTCCAGGCTGACAAATCAATGTAAGTCATTTAAAATGCTTTTTCATTTGGATTTAGTATGAATATGCTAAACCAATATCTGCAGTGCAACTATGGTTAGTACTAGCCAGGTCATCCAATCAGCATGCTCACCTTCTGAAAACTGCAGTGGGTCCTATTACAGCATATAGACAGTAGGTTCTGATCAAAACAAATCTAGCAACACACTATAGTTTCTTCCTGGATCTCAATTTCTTGAAGTTATCCTCTTGTTACACCTAAAAAAGGGATACAAAATTAAAAAAAAAAATAAAAAAAAAAATCAAGCCATTTCTAGGGGTCTCTGCACTCTTCTAAAAGAGGAATTGAGAACATGATAGTAAGATTCCTCTTAAAGGAGAAAAAGAGTGTGCGCTCCCATTTTTTCTTGGTTTGATGAGACATAGCAAGAACATAGAGTGAGGAAAATGTGCAGAGTAAAATCTTGATTTTTGCTGATGTGTGAATTTAGAAAGTAAAGAGCATATAGTCTTTATCTTACATGACTATGTTTTAGGATCTGCTCTAGGGAGAAGTTGTGATGAAAACATAGATAACAGAGTGACCACTGGAGTAGATTGCTGCCCTAGTGTACCTTCTCCTTCCTGGAAAAAATTTAAGTCATCTGTATCATTGAACACAATACAGTAAGAACACTCGAAAAGGTCAGATAAAAGATGACATACAGTGTATTTTTGTTTGTTTGCTTACCATGTTATACTGTATTTCTTCAACAAGGGGTGATTGTACAGCAAAGTGAGAAAGATGCTTATTTGTCTTTTCCTGGCTGCTACAATTTCAGTCAAATAGAAGCTTCTGGAAAGGTGAAATATTGTATTGTAATTCTGCAAAGGAGAAAAAGAATCAAGCACAGACTCCTCCTATAAAGACAGAATACATGTAGGCTAAGTGGAGACTGTATCCAAACCTTCCTAATTTCAGCGTTGCCCAGTGACAGGACAAGAGGCAGTAGGCACAAACTAAAATGCAGGAGGTTCTGGCTAAATATGAGAAAATACTTCTTTACTGTGAGGGTGACTGAGCACTGACACAGATTGCCCAGAGAGGTTGTGGAGTCTTCTTCTCTGGAGATATTCAAAACCCTGTGCAACATTCTCTAGGTAACTCTGCTTGAGCAGGGGGTGGGGGTGGGGTGGACTAGTTGATCTCCAGCAGTTCCTTCTAACCTTGACCTTTCTGTGATTCCAGTTTGTGTTAGGCAGCAGGTCTGTACTTTTATATTAAAATAGATAAATAAATAACCTGTTTTAGTTATGCCTTAAGAAAACCTAAATTTATAATTTGCATGTCCTTCTTGTGCTTTGCATATGCTTACTTAACAGAAAACATTATGGAAGATCTACTTCAAAACATAGCCAATTTGGGGGATTTATTTTACTAAGGGGGGGGGGGGGGGAGAGTAACAATGCAAGGAGAAAATAATTGGGAAAAGAATGAATAAAAGTTGGAAAATAAATTAGAACCCACAAAAAAAAAAAAAAAAAAAAAAAAAAAGTGGTGAAAAAGGAGACGGAACATGTAGCAAGGGTAACACAAAAGTATTCTGTATCATCTCCTTCACATGCTCTATATAAATTGATACACTTGATTTGCTCTGAAAGGCCATTTTCTGCCCTCACACCTCCTGGAAGACTTCTTGATATTGAAATTGATAAGGAATAATGGTTAAATACTTGTATGCAATTCTAGAAATCTGCTGCATCAGTTTCCATTATGCTTATCCTGTATCCACAGTTAGCTCAGTTACCTGGGAAGATGAATGTCTAGGATAAACTTTACCTTTGTCTTATGTTTTGGAGTGTCAGTGCATTAAGACCATAGTGTCAAACTGGGAAAATGGTAATTCTTTTTTAGTTGGAGATTAAAAAAAAATAAAAATCGTTATTTTTGCCATGTAAAACAGAACACCAAAAATAACTGTTTCATATTGATTCCTATTAAATGCTCAGCTATTAAGTTATCTAGTGTCATAAAAATACCAATAAAACAAAATAAAACAATCAAACAAAAAACACACACACACACCAAAAGGCACTTGTGTGAGTCAGCACAGACAAGCATCAGGAACACCCACAGACTTGCAGCTAAAATGCAAAGAGTAGATTTATTCTCATTATCTCACCAACTGGGGGATCCCTGAAGCAGCACCCAAGCAGAGATACAGGAGTACAGGCACACAAGTAATAATGCAGGAACCACTAAACTGAGTCCATTCTAGGAGATCACCAGCCTGCTAGTTTCACCTGTTTTTATCAAGAGTTCACACAGGTGCAGTTTTTACCACTACACCGTGATTCTCACTGTGCTTCTTTGATCTCTGTACCAAGGCTGGGAGCTTAAGTACATCTGATAGGGCACCTCCAAGTCCTCCAAAGACCTACATTATCTATGCACAGGTGTGCTACTTGCCAAACACAGAGAGCACAAACAGCAGCAGGCATAATTTATATGCTTTTCTACATTGTTGCTCCCCAGACTTCATGTATTCCCAGCTGCAAGGTCACTTGAGTGTATTTACAATCCTCCTCACCAGTCTTCTGTTCTGATCCCACCCTCTTCAACAATCTTCTGCTTTTAACCCATTCCTCCCAACAGCACTCTCCTTTACACAGATGTTATACAGCCTAGTTTTGTGATCAAGAACTGGCTAACCCACAGACTGAATAAGATTTCTCTACAAGCAAGTGCAACAAGTCTTAATTCCCTTTCTCAGTCATAACTTTTTCTTTTGCCTTAATTCCAAAATAAATCCAAACAACAAAAATAACCCCCCAAAAATTTATCCTGGTCAAGAAACTTGGCTGCATTTGTTTGTCCTATCATCATTTATAGCAGGGTACAGGTACTCAAAGCTGCATAGCCATTTTACAGAAAGAGTCACAAAAATACTAATACTTCTTAGTTCAAGTTCTAACAGAGATATATATTCTTATTATTGTCTTCTGAATGAAATTGCCTCAAAATAATTATAGTATTTCATAGGGTCCCCTTCACAACCCTTTTTTTCCTTTATATAAAAAAGCATAACTAAGGATGATTTTGGAATATCAAAACTTCAAAGATAACTAAGCCATATTAATTGAGCTGTAAGAAGTACAGAAGAATTCAGAATCAAGTCACGTTTTTGATTGTTTTAATCTTGTGCTACCCTATTGACACAGTAAAGAGGGCTTTATAACAAACACTATCTTAACTGCTGTGGCGCTTCAAGCTATACATTTATCTTCAAAGCTGAAGCATTTTGAGTCATATTTCCAAGAATGATTGTGTGATGTTAGTAAAAAGTGATTCCAGTTCTGTAAACATTCTTATTTAGTACTGTTTATATTTCTCCTGAAAATGACCAAGGACCATATCAAGATTTTTGGTCAGTAATTTTTGTTGCATGCATCTAATGTCACCATCACCTGGAAACTGAAATTAAAGATAAAAAATGTTAAGCCTTAACAATCTTTTTTAGGTTCTTAAACTGGAAATAGGTAGTTTTATAAACAAAAAATCTTGTCATGGTTCAGTACACTTTAATAACTTATTTATAAATGTAATATAGTATTAGATTATTAAAATGTAGATTCATGCTTTCCTGCCAGAATAAAAACAAAACAAAACAAAACAAAACAAAAAAGAACAAAGAAAAAAAAAAAAAAAAAACACTGCAAGCATGGGGAATCATTTTTCAAGGATCGTCAAGTCCAACTCCTGGTTCCGCACACGACCACCCAAAAATCAGACCATGTTTCTGAGACCATTGCCCAAATGCTTCTTGATTTCTAGCAGGCTCGGTGTCATGACCTGGGGAACCTGTGCCAGTGCCCGACCACACTCCTTTCCCAGCCTGACCCTCCCCTGTCCCAGCTCCATGCCGTTCCCTCGGGTCCTGTCGCTGTCCCCGGAAAGCAGAGCTCAGTGCTTGCCTCTCTGCACTCCTCACGAGGGAGCTGCAGGCTGCCATGAGGCTTCCCCTCAGTCTGCTCTGCTCTGTGCTGAACAAAGCAAGTGACCTCGACCATTCTTCATTTATCCTCCCATCTAGACCTTTCACCATCTTTGTAGCCCTACTTTGAACACACTCTAATAGTTTTATGTCCTTCTTATACTGTGATGTCCATAACCATGATTAAATATGGAGGAGAAAACAAAAAAGCCCTGCCAGCAAAGAAAAGACATTTACAAAGATAGGAGAAAGTTAGTAGAATCCAGGAAAAAAAAAAAATCAGTGTTGGGCAGGAAAATCATGCAGAAAAAGGAGTAGGAAGAAAATTAGAGTCACAGCAGTAACAATAGAAGAAAAAAAAAAAAAAAAGGTAGGCCTGAGGACTCTGAAATTGTTAAATTTCAGCCCACAGCTGTTAAATACAGCCCACAGCCCTATAAATAAGATATTGTCATTGCTAGAAACAGGCCAGAAACTTAGTATTAGCTCAGCAGGGCTGAGGACATTTTAGACTTTGTCAAGATTTCTAGACAACCATGAATTTTTAACAACTGAGTTATTTAATCTGTATTAGCTTTGTGAAATCATGTGGTAGAACTACTGTTCTAACTGTTCTAATAATGTCAACGTATTTTTGTTACTAGTAGATAGTAACTACATATAGTTGTGCGCTTAGAGTAAAAAGGTGATATGTAAAATTACAGGATGATAACTGGATCCTTGAAAGTATAAACACCAAAGCACACCAGCAGCCCTAGGGCTATAAACAGAAGTTAGTGATCACTGGAAAAATGCAGGCTTGTGAGCTTGTTTTTGGGATAACAGAAAACAAACAAACAAACAAACAAACAAAAACAAACAAAAAACAATAAACAAACAAACAAAAAACACCAAGAAATTACCCAGTATATCTAAAATACCATATCTAATAAAACTCAGAATTATGAGTAAATAATAATAATAATAATTAAACAAACAAACAAACAAACAAACAAACAAAAAAAAAAACAAAAAAAAACACAAACAGACTGTGTCCACAAACATACAAATAGCTCCAGGGAGAATAAGGAGGAACAACTTCCATCGACATAATACTTCTTCCAAAAATGAATTAATTACACATTGGAAAGGTGAGCACAAAGGTATAGAAAGGGGTAGAAAATCTGCATATAACATTTTTTTTTAATTTTATGTTTTGTAATGAGCTGCCATCAGATAACTGAACTTTAAGTGCTCACATATAAACTTAACTGCTCATAACTGAACTAGAAGTACTTCCTTTGTTTGTTTTGATTGACTAACTATAAAGAATTATTGTCTCTGCACATCAGTTGTGTTTCTTTATTGCACAAAAATTGTCCTGAGTACAGTGCAACAAACAGAAAGGAGCTCTGTCTCTCCAGAGCAAGTATACAAGATGGATCTGATATATTTGGAATTACTCTCCTTGAGTCATCTGGCTGGGAGAGACTTTCAAGAATTTTAGTCACAATAAATGTTTTTTTCTGCCCTACAGAAATGCATTGAGTACTGTGGCAGCTCTGGTATTCTCTTCAGGTCATACTAGGACTTCTCTGTGTAGGTAATATCAACAAGATGGAAGCAGACGTAGTTCCTTCAATTCTTTAGACACCTTCAGTGATATCCCAGTACTCCAACACTCCTTATACAAAATCTCATGTCATGCAACAAATATCTTTGGTGTAATGCTATGAAATTACCATTCTGACCACCAGTATGAGGACACAGTCCTCATATAATTTCAGGCACTTTGAACTAAAAAGAAACACACACAAAATATGATTTAAGATTCACAGCTTGCAGGTCACATACTATGTGTTGTATACATAAATAATTTACTCCAACGGAAAATATGGGGGTCCTAACCAGAAGCAGTGATTTTACCTATTTATTAAGTTAAAGAGGATGAAATTGCTTAAAATAGTCATTGGATACGTTTTAAAAGCAATCTTTAAAGCAGGGTCTGGAAGCAAACTCTCATGCATGATTCCTCTAAATGTGATCGTATTTCACAACCTAGAGATAACTGACTTTCATCTTTGACTGATGGATACATCATACCTAGCCCTCATTTTGAAATCCTCAATTCATTTACAATTCTAAGGAATTTACAAAAATATGATGATTTAGATTGCAATAATGAAATAAAGTAAAGTAAAATTAGGTAGGTATTCCGTAATCAGACAAAAGAGAAAGGAACAACATACAGTGGTTTTGAAGTAAGGAAGAGGTTATATTTAAAATAATCTAGACACAACCTAATATTAACTGAATATAATGTGGTTATATGCATATATATATTAAACAAAGACTAAACAATAACTATCCCAAAGGCTGTATGATCATTGAATGCTTCAGCAAGTACATAATGCTTAGTAAACTTGTGAAACGAGCTTCAGGTGACCTTTCTGCAAATGTCAAGTGTGAGATGTTCCACAGGGAAGACAGCCTCACTGCTTAAAATGATTAGATGAGTCCTTGTAAGTAAGGCAGTTTCTCTGCTGGCAGTTTGATGACAATCTATGACATGCTATGGTAACCAGGATGGCATTCTTTGTGAGGACTCTGGCAGACCTCAGGGTCTTCCAGCCTTGACACAAAGAGGTGGAGAGTCCTTCTGAAGGCTTTTCTGTTGGTGTAAAAGAAAAACGATTGTTTATAACCTAATGTGTAGAGGGTTGCATTTGCTGATGAAGCATGGGATTTCAGATAGACTTGGCAGTCACAGAATTCCTCAGGTAAAACCTTTGAAATGGTTGTTTTGTTTTGATTTCCTTACGAAAATAACAAAGGGGAATCAGCCACAAGAGCCTGTATGTCACCTACACATTACTGTAGCTACTGAAAGGGTTTTTAATAGGTAAATGAAGAAGACATCACATTACTTAAAATTTGCAGTGCCTGCACTTCTGAACTGAAAGAGCTTATTAATATTACACTGGAAAACAGGTCTTTAACTGTAGATGAAACTTGTTAGACCTTTCAAAAAGCTCTACTGGGGAGTGATAATGCTGAATACTCTTTCACCATGAAGCCAAAAATTGACAGTGACAGGAATAAATAAATAAATAAATAAATAAATAAATAAATAAATAAATAAAATTAGAAGCCACAGGCCCTTAGAGACAAGGCCAAGAACTGGAAAAATGACTGAGGCTGAGAAACATGACTTATGAGAGTACCAATATGCAAATGCAACTATGTAACTTAGCAGGTAGATTTAATAGAGTTTCTTCTACTGTTTATGAGGATTTTCTTCCCTAGAGAACAGATATGCTCAAACTCTACTAGTTAACCAGCAGTTTCCTTAGAGACAAACTAAATTTCCATTTACTTATGAGAAGGACCTCTGAAGAGAAAGAGAGGTCCTTTATTTAAATATATATATTTATATTAAATATATATATATATATATATATATACATATTTTAAAGAAAAGAAAAAAAAAATAATAACTTCTCAGCTTCACACACTGCCTTGCCAGTGAGGAGGCAGGGGCATGCACAATGAGATGGGAGGAGACACAGCCAGGACAGCTGACCCAAACTGGCCAGAGA